ACTATAGCTTGTAGATTGGTTTCTATTAATACATACAGAGCTGCCTCATTCTTAGTAAGAAGTATTAATTGAGCAGCTACTAGGTGCCCAGCATTGTTCTAAGTGCCAAAGATGTAGGGGCCTTGTTGACACACATTCTAGACAGGAGAGATGGACAGTAAATAATGAAAAAATATATGGGGGTGGGCATCATTAAGAAAAATAAGTCAGAGAAAAGGCATGGGAAGCAGGTCCAATTACAAGCCTGGAGGTCAGGGAAGACTCCCAGGAAGCGACACGAGGGCAAAGGGCTGAAGGGTCAGGCAGCCCTGGGAAATCCAGGGGAGAAGTTTCCTGTTATGACAGCAAGTACAAGGCCTTGAGTTGGGATCTGGTCTTCAACAGATGAATGTACCAAAATTAATATAGTCAGCACTCTGTTGATGGATAAATGTTGAATTAAATCACATTGTCTGTTCCCTCACATCCTTTTACCAAAACATCGTGTTGTCATACTGTTCCATGTGGTTTTGACATGTGTGGGTGGTTATCTTATAGCTGGACTTTGCATTTATTGTATTGTTAAGAAGCTGAGCATTCTTTGGGGGCACCTGGGTGGCTCAGTCGTTAAGCATCTGCCTTCTGCTCAGGTCATGATCCCAGGGTCCTGGGATCGAGCCCCACATCGGGATCCCTGCTTGGCAGGGAGCCTGCTTCTCCCTCTCCCACTCCCCCTGCTTGTGTTCCTTCTCTCACTGTGTCTCTCTCTGTCAAGTAAATAAATAAAATTTTTTTAGAAAAAGAAGTTGAGCATTCTTTTCTATGAATTGTGTATTCACATATTTGTAAAATTATGTATTAGATTATCGGTCTTTTTCTTATTGGTTCAGAGAAGCTCTTTATATATTACAGAAATTGGCCCTTCTTCCTTAAGATGTATCATAAATAATTTCTAAGTTTTTTGATTAAAATTTTTTTTCTATCTGTTCAAAAAAAGTTTTAAGTTGTCCAATTTATCAGTCATTTCTTCTGCGGCTTCCAAGATGTGTGGCATAGTGAAAGAAGCCTTTTCTTACTCCAAAGTTACACAAAAACCCACCTTATCCTAGTACTTGAATGGTTTCATTCTGTTCTTAATTTATATCTTTGATTGACTTGGGATTTATTAAAGTAGAAGGGGTACAGTATACAGTATTTTCCCCCCAAATAGCTATTCAAGTGTCCGCAAACTATTTGTTGAATTAATAGCCTTTTTATCGATTGATGGGCATGCACTTCCTCTATCATATACTAAATTCCCAATTATAGTTGGACATATTTTTGGCCATTCTATACTGTTTCAGTGATTTGTCTGCTCATGCTCTACTGCTGCACTCTTTTCGTTATCATAGTTACAGAATACATTTCCATACGCATGGAACAAGTCCACCTTTATCACTTCTCTTTTCCAGAATGTTCTTGGCTACTCTTGCTTGTTTATTTTTCTAATGAACTTCAGAATGAGTGTCCAGACCTAAAAGCAAATCATGGCTGGTGTTTTTATTGTAGTCACATTCTTACCCCACCCCGAAACTGGCAACCACTGATCTATTCTTCATCTCCATGGTGTTTGTGCTTTCCACCATGTCTTATAGATGGAATCACACAGGGTGGGATCTTCGAGACTGGCTTCTTTCCTTCATCTGAATGCCTTTGATTCATCCAAGTTGTTATGCTCAGTAGTATTCCATTGTGTGGACATACTACCATTGCCTACCCCTTCGTTGAATAATCTCGTTTTTGGTGATTGTGAATAGAGCTGCTACAAACATTTGTGTATAGGTTTTGATCTGAACATAAGTTAGTATTTCTCAAGGGTAAATACTCAGGAATGCAATTGTTGTATCATATGGTAAATATTTGATTAATCTTATAAGAAACTGAAAAACCATTTTTTTTTTAGAGAGTGTATGAGCTGGGGGGCAGGGACAGATCGAGAGAGAGAGAGAGAGAGAGGAAGAGAGAGAGAGAATCTTAAGTGGGTTCCATGTTTAGTATGGAGCATGATGTAGGGCTTGATCCCAAGACCCCGAGTTCATGGCCTGAGCCGAAATCAAGAGTTGGATGCTCAACCGACTGAGCCACCCAGGCACCCCTGAAAATCCATTTTTATTGTTTTGAATTTTTTTTTAAATTAACTATTCTGATCCATAGAGACCAATATTTCACTGTGGTCTTAATTTGCATTTCTTTAATGGCCAGTTATGTTGAACAATATTTCATGTGCTTGGTTTCCATCCCTATATCCTCTTAAGCAAAGTGTCTAAGGTTTTCTGTCCATTAAATTTTTTTTTTACTGTGAGTCATAAATTTGATTTGCCAATATTTTTCCCAATCCATAGCTTGACTTTTCATTATCTTAAGAATGCCTTTCACAGAATGAAAGTTCTTAAATTTCCATGAAGTCCAACTTATTGGTTTTTATTTTTATTCATTTTTTAAATTTTTTGAGAGAGTGTGTGTACAAGCGAGGGGAGGGGCAGAAAGAAAGGGAGAGAAAGAATCCCAAGAAGGCTCCACACTCAGTGCAGAGCCCCATGTGGGGCTCAATCCCATGACCCTGAGCTCATGACCCATGCTGAGTCGGACACTTAACCTACTGAGCCACCCAAGTGCCCCGAATTTAGCACTTTTAAAAAAGGATCTTGCTTTTGGTGTTATGTTAAGGAAATCTTTGCTTAGTCCCAGGTCATGATTATTTTCCCTCTGTTTCATTCCAAAACTTGTATGATTTTATATATTGCATTTAGATATATGATCTATTTTTGTAAAAAGGTTTAGGTCAAGATTCTTTTTCTTCTTGTGCATATGGATGACCAATTATTCCACTTGTTGAAAAAAAAAGATCCTTTCTTTATTGAGTTGCCTTTGCACTTTTGTCAAATCAATGAGGGTCTATTTCTGGACTTTCTATCCTATCCATTGTGCTATATGTCTATCATTTCACCAATACTACAGTGTCTTGGTTACAGTAGGTTTGTAACAAGTCTTTTAATTGTGTAATGAAAATTTTCCAACTTGATTGTCTTTTTCAAAGTCATTTTGGCTATCCTAGTTCCTTTGCCTTTTTATATGAATTTTGATATTAATCAGCTTGTCTATAGCTACAAAAAATTCCTGCTAGATTTTGATTGATATTGTATTAAGTCTATACATTGCTTTGGGGACAACTGAAGCTTCTACTATGCTGAGTCTTCTAATCCATGACCATGATAGATATTTCCATTTATTTAGGTCTGCTTTGCTTTCTTTCACCAGTGTTTTGTAGTTTTTAGTATACAGATCCTGTAAACTTTTGTTAGATTTATACCTAAGTATTTAAAGTTTTTGGATCTATTGTAAATAGTTTTTTTTTAAACAAATGTTACTTTTGAAGATTTTATTTATTTATTTGAGAGGAGAGAGAGAGAGCATGAGCAGTGGGGGAAGGGCAGAGGGAGACGGAGAAGCAAACTCCCTGCTGAGCAAGGAGCCCAATGCAAGACTCAACCCCAAGACCCTGGGATCATGACCTGAGCCAAAGGCAGATGCTTAACCGACTGAGCCACCCAGGCACCCCTATAAATGGTATTTAAACATTTTGTTTGTTTCTAAATGTTCATTGCTAGTGTATAAGAATACAACTGATTGTTTGTGTTGACCTTTTACCTGTAATCTTGCTAGGCTCACTTGATGTCTAAGAGTGTTAATTTTGGGGATAGATTTCTTAGGATCTTCTGTGTAGACAATCATGTTGTCTGAAAATAGTGACAGTTTTACTTCCTCCCAATTTATATGACTTTTATTTATTTTTCTTGCTTTATTGCACTGGCTAGGACTTTCCTATAATGGTGAAAAAGAGTTTTGAGAGTTGTGAGAGTCCTTGGCCTGATCCCAGTCTTAGAAGGAAAGCTTTCAGTCTTTCAACATTAAGGATAATGTTAGTTGTGGGGTGGGTTGTTTTTTTATAAGTGCCCTTCATTTGGAGAGGAAGTTCCCTTCTAGTCCTATTTTGCAGAAACTGTTTTTGTGAATGGATGTAGAATTTTGTCAAATGTTCTTTCTGCATCAACTGACATAATCATATGGTTTTTCTTCTTTAAACTGTTATGGTGGATTACACTGATTCATGAATATTGAACCAGCTTTACATTCCCAGAATAAAATCCAATGGGTCAGGGTATATTACTCTATTTATATATTGATGAATTTCATTTCCTGATATTCTGTTGAGGATTTTTGCATCCATTTCCAGAGGAATACTGATCTGTGGTTTTCTTTTGTTGAAATATCTTTGTCTAGTTTTGGTATCAAAGTAATGCTGGTTTCATAAAATGAATCCAGGTGATTGCGCTCTCCTCTTCTGTTTTCTGAAAGAGATTGTGTAGAATTAGTTTTTTGTTTTGTTTTGTTTTTAATGCTTGGGAGGATTTGCCAGTGAAACCATCTGGGCCTATAGAATTCCTTTTCAGAAGGTTTTAAATGACCAGTTCGATTTATTTAGTGGTTATAGAACTATTCGGGTTACCTATTTCTTTTGAGTGAATTTTGGTAGTTTGTAGTTTTCAAGAAATTGGGTCATTTCATCTAAGTTATTGAATTTATGTATATAGAGTTAATTGTTTTCTTCATTACTTTTTTTTTCATGCCTGTGGGGTCTGTAGTGATATCTCTTCTCTCATTCCTGATACAGGTAATTTTTATCTTCTTTCTCTCTCTCTCTCTCTCTCTCTCTCTCTTTTTTGTTAATCATTGATCTTGCTTTTATTTATCTTTCAGTGAACCAGCTTTTGCTTTCATTTATTCTCTCTATTGTTTTTCTGCTTTCAATTTTATTTGCAATTCATGCTTATATTTATTATTTCCTTCTTGTGGCCTACTTTGGGCTTAATTTGCTCTGATTTTGCTAGTTTCTAAAAGTAGAGGTTTATATTACTGATTTGAGACCTTTCTTATTTTTTTCCTACTATAAGCACTTAATGCTATGAATTTCTTTTTTTTTATTTTGCATAACAAGTTTATTTTTTAAAAGGCATATAGACAATAAACAAAGTAAATAATCAGATCTTCACTTCTACCCAGTATTATCTGTCCTAGAACTGTTCCATTAAGTTCCAGTCTCTAAACATCTTAAATTTCAATAATTGTCCTCTTCATCAGAGTCCATGACTTTTCTTCTGTTGAATTTAACTGTGGTTTTTCTTTTCTGTTTGTTGGCTTACTTTTTCAAGGATTTCTATTAAACCTTGTTGTGATACCTTCCCACTTAGTTGTCCATATCTTGCCATCTGTATGAGGTAATTCTCTACTGCTTTAGTTTTTTCGGGCTTTACAAGTGCTAAGTTACTTAAACGGGCCCGGGCTGACTGATCCAGGACTTGGGCTAAGATACTGTTTCTCATTTCTGCTTCCCTGTGTTTTGCTTCCTGTTGTGCTGCATCGCCAGGATCCCCATGTTTCGCCTGCAGTTCGGCCAGCCTCTGTTTCCTCAGAGCCTCCAGCTCCTCCTCCGCCATGGTGCGGCAGTCCCGGGACGAGCAGCCACAACCACGCTCCGAGGGCTCTAGCTATGAATTTCTTTTTAAGTACTGCTTTAGCCACACCCTACAAATCTTGTTTTTGTTTATTTAGTTGAATATATTTTCTAATTCCTCTTGAGACTTTCTCATTCACTTGTGGGTTATTTAAAAGAGTTTTCCTTTTAATTCCCAAGTATTTGCAGATGTTCTCATTATCTTTCTGTTATTGATTTCTGGTTTAAGTCCATTGTCATCAGGGAACATACTTCATATTATTTCAATTCTTTTACATTTTAAGATTTGTTCTTTGACCGAAGACATGGTCTTTCTTGGTGAATAGTCCATGAACACTTAAAAAGAATGAATTCTGCTGTTGGTGGGTAGAATGTTCTGTCAATATCAATTCAATTCACTTGCTTGATGGTGTTACTCAGTTTTCATTAATATCCTTGCTGATTTTCTGTCTACCTATTCTATTTTTTTATTAATTTTTTTATTGTTATATCACCATATATTACATCATTAGTTTTTGGTGCAGTGTTCCATGATTCATTGTTTGTTCATAACACCCAGTGCTCCATGCAGAACGTGCCCTCCTCAATACCCATCACCAGGCTAACCTACCTATTCTATTTTTTACTGAGAGAAAAGTATTGAAGCCTCCAACTGGAGCTGTGGATTTGTCTATTTTCCCTTTCAGTTCTTTTGGACTTTTGCTTCATATATTATAAGGCTTTTTTGTTAGGTGAATACACATTTAGGGTGTTATGTCTTGGCTCTTCTTTATATTTTCTATTTATTTTCTGAGACTTTTTATGTTTACATATTTTAAAGAGTGTTTTACCCTTTTTATTAGAAAAGATTTTATTTATTTATTTTAGGGGGGAGGGAAAAAACACAAGTGGGGGGAGGGACAGAAGGAAAGGGAGAGAGAGAATCCCAAGCCGACTCCAAACTGAGCATGGAGCCTGATGTGGGGCTCAATCCCATGATCCAAGCCAAAACCAAGAGTCAGACACTTAACTTACTGAGCCACCCAGGTGCCCCACCCCTACTTTTTGGAATATTTTTATAATAACTGATTTTAAGTCTTGGCCAGGTAACTCCAACATCTATGTTCTTTTCCATGAAAGTTGAGATTTTCCTAGTTCTTAATCTCCCACATCTAGTTTTCTGGACCAGCCTGTGGGTCCTGGCAGTTCTTTGCTACCTGTCTGTGAATCCTGTTTCCATTGTTCCAAACACAAGCTAGTACATTTTGTGCCTTAAGGCATATGCTCTTTGCTGTGATGAGCTCTGCAGGCTTTGTCTGATCTGCAGTTATAGACATCCTCTTTGAGCATCTTCCCATACCCTGGTTAGACCTTACTGCTTTGGGCAGCTCTTCTTCAGACACTGTTGTGAGAATAGAGAGATTTTTCTGGCTATCAAACCTAGAGTTTGTATTTCTCTTGTTCTCTCTAGTGTTTGGGCATGATTTCCTGGAAGAAAAAAGGGCGATACCATATTTGCTCCTCCACATTACAACCAGAGTTTGGATAGGCTTATTTTGATATGTATTATCAAAATATGTATCAAAATTTGATACATACTATCAGATTGCCCTCAAGAATCTTAAATGTCCTTAAAATTGCCTGTATAAATTTAACTTGATATATAGTAGGGAAGAAGTGTGTGGGAAGACAATATATGTGAAAAATTAGGGAGACAGGCTGGGAGGGTGAGCTACTTAGCTGTAGCCATTCGTCATCCTTGGGTAGGCAGTTAGGAAGCAGGGCAGAGAGTCATGTGAGGGCAGAAAGAGCTGTCAGAGGCACTAAAGGGCCACTTAATTAAAAAATTGCATGTTCTGAAGGCATTTTTGTGTCAGGAATCTGAACTCCCACTCAGGGCAAGCCGGGCAGCCCACCCCAATTTTCCCAAGAGATGATTATTTGCAATGAGTGGAAACTTGTTCCCTCAAGAGGATCCATTCCAGGGCTGAACAGCTCAGTTCCTGGCAAGTTGTCACAGAGACCCAAAGTCTGCCTTCCAGCTGCTTATATCCTTTGGTGCCATTCTCTAGTTGGGAGCCCCTGAATCTGTTCCTCTCCACAAGTATGGCAGCTGTGCCACTACTAGAAGGCAGAGTCCTTTAACAGAAGGTTTTCCCAACAGCAGCTCCTTGTGTGCCAGTTCTGGAGAGAACAGCTGTCCCCGGGACTGTGTGGACACAACCCTGCCTGGGTCAAAAACCATAGCTCCCAGTGCCAGGCAGAGATGGAGTCCTGCGGGGCTGGTGTGTGCCCAGCAGAGGTGTGTCTGTGGTGCTGTCCATGGTCTTCAACCACAATCTCCAGATAGGTCATTGTCTCTGCTTTTAATTATGGAACCCCAGTGTCTTTTCCTGGTTGGCTCCCAATAATTATCAAATGAATGCATGAATAGGCTGTGACTGGGGGGAAAGGGGGAGCCAAGGAAGAGAACTGTGCTTTTACATCATCATATAACAAATGGAGTTGTGACTGAGGTTTCACAGTTTAGGTACCCGATTTCATGTGCCATTGATGAATCTTTCACGTTTCTGACAGTTACAGATTTCTGCCTTGGGAATATAACTCCCCTGCCCCCAATTCTATATTTATGGGGCTGAGCTTCAGGCACACCCACAGAAAGCCTAAAGTACTTTGCTGTACATCTAAGATCTAATAGTAACAGCCTCTGACCCCCAGGGAACCTGCCCTCCTTCCAACTCTCAGAGAGAATCCCCAAGTTTTAATTATCCTGAAACTCTCTGAGTGAAGGGCAGACACAACCCTGAGACATCCACAAGATATATGATTAGATTCAGAGAAAGAAAGGCCAGGGGTGAGGATGTTGAAGGGGTTTTGGACCTGCAGGTTAGTGATGGGTGTCAGCAAGCACAAAAAGTGAATGAGAGCATGTTCAAAGGTTCAATTTCATTGCTCCTTCTCCTGGAAAGCAATTGTCAGCTGTTGACTTTCAGAGCAGCACGGGCTGAGGTTCATGTTGGATCTACCCACACACCTTAGGACTCTGAGCTGTCTGAGAGGAGGACGTTCAGGGCTTGGAGCTGTAGACACATTATCACTATTGTCAGTTCAAGACACTTCTCTGTGTATGAAGTGTAGGGTTTGGCCTGGGTCCACGTGTGGGGGAGGCAGAACTTGGTTCTGTTGTTCTTTTTTTTGTGTAAAGGAGTTGAGACATACAAACCAAGGAGGAGGATGGTTGCCCTCTTTGCATTTTTCCCCCAGTGTGGATTGGCTCAACAGCTCAGAGTGGAGCTTGGGAAGCAGCCAGATCTGACTTTGGCCCTGGTTTATTGCTTATTAGCTGGGTCAACTTGGAAAACTAGAGAAAACTTTTCTGAACCTTGAATGCCTTACCTGCCAAACGTGGGCGTTCTACCCCTTGGGGTGTGGTATTCATGTCCTAGGGCTGCTGTAACAGGTTACCATGAACTGGGGGGTGTGAAACAACAGAAATTTATTTTCTCACAGTTCTGGAGGCTGGAAGTCCACATCAAGGTTCAGCAGGACCATGTAGGTTCTAGGGCAGGATCCTTTCTTGCCTTTCCCAGGTGCTGGTGGCTGCCAGCCATTCCTGGCATTCTTTGGCTAATAGACACATCATTGCACTCTCTGCCTTTGTCACCACATGGCTTTCTCCCTGTGTGTTTCTGTCATCACATTGTCTCCTCTGTGTCTCCACATGACCTTCTTCTAATGACACTAGTCACTGGACTTAGGGCCCCCCACCAAGCTTATATGACCTCATCTTAACTCATTATTTCAACTCATTATATCAATCCTATTTCCAAATAAGGTGACATTAGAGGTTCAGGGTGGACAAAATTTTGGGGAGATGCTATTCAACCCAGTACACGTATTTTAAAGATTAAATGAGACAACACATGTGAAGTGTTTTAGCATCATGTCTGACACACAGTGAGTGCTCAATAAGTGATATCTATTATTGTTACTTAAACCAATTATAGAGCACGTACTGGATGGCTTTACTGTTACTTCTGGTATCCATAACAATTCTGTTAATTCATTTAGTCACAGACCTTTATATGCCAGACATTCTGCTTGCTTGGCTGAGGGATGCAGAAATGAAAGCCATGGCCTGCTGTTTTCAAGAAGCTCACTTTCCGGGAAGAGGCACACACATACCTATAGCAGGCTAACTGCAGTGGATAAGGTTGTATGTGCTGGGAGAGCAGGCAGGGAGAAAGTGGGGGAGATGCTCTCAGGCACCCTCAGGGAATCAGGGAGATTTTCAGAGGTGGTGGCTTTTGAGATGAGACTTAGGGTGAGTAAGGGTTATCCCCAAACAGCTGAGGGAGCAGCAGCATGTAAGAGCTTGGAGAAGGGAAAGAGCACCATTTGTTCATCTGGCTGCAGCGTGGGGCCCCAGCTCTGGCAGATTCTGTCCTGTCACTGGGAGTGAGAAGGGTGGAAGAGAAACACGTGATGGATATGTGGACCTCTGTCTTGGGACTGAACCTGAACCTTCCATGGGGAGCATGGTCCTTCCTCTCCTTTCCACCCTGGATGAAGCCTGTGGGAAGGGAAGGAGCTTCTTGCTGGGGGGATGGGGGAAGAAGGCTTCAGATTGGGAAGGGATAGCAAGAGGCCTGCAGGAGTAGAAAGGAGGCAAAGATGGGTTTCTAAGGTGGCTCTTGGAAGTGGCTCCAAGGAAGCTGAGCTCAGAGCAGCTGTTTACCCTCCTTGCCCTGCCTCAGCCTTGGGCCTAGAACTTTGGAGCTGACTACATCAGCCGTTAGCTACAGCTGTTAAAGTTTGAATGATCTCAGATCAACCTGTGTGACCTTTTAGAGGTTAGTTACCCTCTTTGTAGCAACCTGCCCTCATCTGCAAAATGGGAAGGACATGAGTATCAGCGCGAGGCTTAGATAAACGAGAACGCATACAGCACTGAGAACAGCACCTGGCACACACTGAACCTGTTCGTGGCTTTGCTCGTATTGCCATAATGAGTTGAAAGAGCTCTTTGTCAGGGTCTTTTAATCAT